TGGGGCTCAGCACTCTGGGCTGCATGGAGTGGGGACACATGGAGGGCAGAGGGGTCGTGAGAGGCCAACTTGGAGCGCATGGGGGTCTCAAGCTGGGAAGATGGCAAACTTCAGCTTCTCTCTCCTCGACCATCTCCTGCTTGTCCCTCCCAGGCCATCCTTCTGGCCCCATAATAACCTGTCCACTGAAAACCCCGACCATGGCCTTCCCCTGCTCAGAGACGTTCCATGGCTCCCCATGGCCTTTTATCCAAGCACTTCAGCCTGGAACTGTAGCCCTTTATGAACAGCCCCAGACACCTTTCCCTTCTTCCTCTGCAAAGTCCTGCACCATACCCACGCCAGACCAAACGTGATGCTTTGTGCATTCCTGCGTCTGGGCCTTTGCATGTGTACTTCTTACTCCTTGGCCTGCCCTTCCCTGGCTTCTCTTGACCTCTCTGCTTTCCTCCTTTAGTAAGTCCCACCTTCATGAGATCTTCGTGCATCCCTCAATGGGATGAACGCATCTTTCCAGGAGCGCCCCCACCCCATAGCTCACCTGAGCCCCAGCATCAGCTTATTGCCACTCTGGGGCAGGGAGCAGGTTTCAGAACGCTTAGCTACCCTGGGAAGCTAGCCACTTTTCCATGTCTTTGCGCACACCGCCCCCCTGCTTGGAATGCTCTTCCTCTACCCTCTGGCTCTCTTGGCAAAGCCCTCAGTCTTCAAAGCCCACGTGGACAGACCCCTCCTCTCTCAGGCACAGCCCTTCTCTCTTAGTGAAAGTTTATTGAGCACCTAGCATGAACTAGGCACCTGAGCACTTACTGTGTGGCCAGCACTTGGCCCTGGGGCTGCATTGGTGGCCCTGTCCTTTCGAGTCACGGCTGGAGGGAGTTTCCAGAGGCTTGATAGAGAGATGGCAGAGAATGCAGGGGGGCTGTGGGTATGGATAACAGGGTAATCTACTTTCTGCTAGGGAGAGTTTGAAAGTGACCTTTAGCTGAGACCTGAAAGAAGAGCCAGGTGAGCTGTGGGGCCAAGTTGGGGTGTGGGGTTGTGACTAAGAACCAGACCCAAGCTCTGATCTCAGGGAGCTCACAGCTACGCCGGGGACTGGGTGGACAAGGAACCAGGCAATTCTAGCTTAGTGGGATCAGTGCTGTGGTGGAGGAGGCCCAGGAGGCTGTGGGAATGGGGAGAAGGAGCTACCAAATGGGAGGCTGTGGGGGGGGGGGGGGGGGCTGGTGAGCAGGAAGGCTTCCCTAGGGCTGTGACGCCTGAGCTGACTGGTGGTTGATGGGCACCTGGCAGGGCTTTCGCTGGATGATGGAAGGACACAGGCTGTGCAAAGGCACGGTGGCATGAAAGAGCAACTTGTTTTGGGGGAACTGCAGGTGGTGTTGTGGGGCTGGAAGGAGGGAGGCCATGGGGATGTACCTGTTGGGATGCATATGGCCTGCAGAGCCTCACTGGCAAAGGCCTCTGTGCTGGGGATTTTGAACCATACCTCAGAAGTGATGGGAACCCGAGAGAGATTTCAAGCAGGAGTGAGTGACCTGGGCAGGCTTTGGCCTGGGCCTCCCCTCCGAAGCCTCCACCCAGGACGGGGAGCCCCTTCCTGACTCTGTGTTCCTGACTGGGGTCTGGGGTGTGGCTGGAAGCTCACTGTGGGACCTTGAGCAAGCCCCTGGCCCTCTCCTAGCCCTTCTCTCCTCCTGGGTAAACCCGCAGGGCCTGAGGCCAGAATCCTAATGGAGCTGTGGGCAGGGGTTGGGCTGTGTTGCTTAGCCTAAGCTTGCTGAACCTATAGTTTCATTAATATTCCTTTAAAAAAGTCACGTAACTACCCTGCAGAAAAGTCAGAATAGGGAAATGAGGTAAGTCCAAACCTGCCATTTCTGCTCTCACCCCAAGCCGGAAGCACTGTCACTGTGAGCATTCTGGCTTTTCCTTCCCTCCTCTCAGTACCTGGTTTTTATATGGATATCATTGCTCCGTCCGTCCGTACAATTTAGAAAATCTGCTCCCCTACCCCATCCCCCTGACAAATGTATCACGAGTGCTTCATGAGTGCAGTGGGGTTCCAGTCCTTTCTAACAGATCCAGTGTTAGGGTGGAAAGCGTGGGCTTTGGAGCCTGACTTTCTGGGTTCAAACCATACACGCTTGACTTTGGGCAAGTTACCTAATCTCTCGGTGCCTCAGTTCCTTGTAAGGTTGATATGAGAGTTAAATGAGTCATTACAGTGCCGGTAAACACTGGCCGTTATTAATGGTTGTAGACTATGTCACTGTGTAACATGATTTACAGAGCCATCCTCCCATTGTTTAAAATTTTGGCTGTTTTCAGTTTTTCAATATGGTAAAAAAAAAAAAAAAGACACACTGAAGCAAACAGCTTTGTACATAAACCTTTGTCTATATTTGGGTTATTTTCTAGGGACAGATGACCAAGAATGGGATCACTAGGCCAGGAAGTCTGAACATTTTTTTGAGCTCTTGTCACGTTATTGCCAGACTGTTTTTAGAAATGTTCCAATTTGCACTCCCACCAATAATGCATAGAAGTGCCAATTTCATCATACCCTCACCAGCATAGCGTATTATCATTTTCTTATTTCTCTTTGCTATTTTAAGAGGTGAACCTCATTTCATTTTCACTGCCAGGGAAGCAGAACTATTCTCTGTTTATTAGCTGTTAACATCCTTTTTGGTCTGCTAGCCTTTACAGAGCACACATAGCCCCTTCTCAGACCAATTAGGAAGATAGGGCTTAGATATAGGAAACAGGGAACAGAGTAACAATGGGGACGATTTAGTGCCAGGGTAGGGGAGGGGACTTCCCTCTATCTAGGCCATAACACTCAGTTGCCTCCACATTGAACATCCATCCATTCATTCATTCATTCAAACACTTATCAGGTACTCTTAGGGCTTAAAAGGTAAATTACCCAGCCATGATTCTGCCCTGACAGAGAGCATGTCCAACAGCAGAGATGGACAAGAACACAGACAGAAAATACAGGGATGTGTGCTCTGATGATAGATGTGTAGGGCACAAAGGGAACAGAGGAGAGGCTCCAACACAGCCCAGGAGGTGATAGAGGTAGAGCAGTTTTGGAAGGCTTTCAGGAGGAAGTGGTCCATAAGCTGGAGCTTGAGGATAATCTGGAGTTAGCTAGTGAAGTGGGGAGGTCAGACGGTTCCAGGGAGAGGGGGCAGCCTGACTGATGGTGAGGAAGTAAGAAGGGAAGTGGAGCACTAGGGGATCTCTGTCTGGCTGGGCAGAGTATAAGGTGGCCATCGAGGCCACAGAGTCAGCAGGGACCAGACATACAAGGCCCCAGGAATCCAGACCTTGTCTGGAGGGAAGTAGGGAGCTATGGAAGGTTCTAAGGAGGTGAATATTGTGATTTGCTTTTGTCTTTTAGAAATCTCACAGCGACTGCAGAAGGAGAGTGGAATGGGGGGTGTGGGTAGAGGTGGGGAAACCAGTGAAGGGATTCTTGCAATAGCCGAAGAGCCTGGACCCGGGCAGAGAAGGTGGTGGAGACCTTCTTTCCCTACCCTGCAGAATCCTAAAAGCAGCCTCACAGTGCACAGCGAATGTTACCTCTGCTGGGCAGCCCTTGCTGACATCCACCGCTGCCAATCAGGTCATGCCTTCCTGGAGGACGGGGCGGTGCAGGGCCTGGCATGCAGTGGTCAGTTGAGTGCCTACCACCAGCTGACCCTGATCCCACCCCTGCCCCTCCGTGCCTCCAGACTCTCTATCTCTTCCCCCTCTGCCTTGAGCTGCCAACAGTTTTCTGTCTTTTCTTTGAGAATAAATTTATTGTTTTCATTATAAAAGCAACTGAACGGCATTACGGAGAATCTGGAAATCAGAGAAACAAAGACAAAAACCAGATCAGCTCCAGCCACCTCTCCCAGCCCTCCCTCTGGGTGTGGTTCCCTGCAGCTTGCTTTTTCTGACGCAGGTTTTTATTTTTGCCTCCTTGTAATCATAGTGTCCGGACCATTTTGGGTCCTGCTCTCTCCCATTTGCTTTGTTGGGAGCTCGTTCCTCTGTGGCCATGGGGTCTGGGCAGATCTCAGTTTTTGATGCCTGTGGGATGGTTTGGGGATGGGGGTGGGACAGGGTTGTTTAACCGCACCCTGCTGTCCTGCAGTGGGCAAGGCTAGTCACATGCCACCCTGGGCTGCCTGTCTGCATTGTGTCTGTTTGTCTGTACCTGGACCACCCCAGCCACCTGGTGTACCCCTTCTTCAGTGCCCCTTTATGGAGCTTACAAGGCTGGCCTCAGGGGCCACCTTCCTGGGAAACGGTCGTGGACAGATCTGGTTTTAAATCTAGACTTGGCTCTGCGACCTCAGGCAAGTTACTTAACCTCTCTGGACTTCAGTTTCCTCATCTGTATCATGGGTCTATTGCCCCAGTAAAATAATGGCTGTAAAAATGCCCTGACACAGTTCCTGGCCCACTGTAAGTGCTCAAGAAAAGGTAGTCAATATTATTGTGTTTTTTCATTCTACAAAGAGTTTCTGAGACCACTCTGGGCTAGGTGCTGGAATGGCAAAGATGAATGAGCACTAGTTATACCTGTGAAGAGCTCGTGGTCTGGCAGGGAAGTCACCCAGGGAAACATATAAGCATACCAATCGGCGCTGGAGTGCTGGACCAGACCTGGGTGGTGTCCTAACTCCATTACTTGCTAGCTGTGTGACTTTGGGGAGGTTGGTCAACCTCTCTGAGCTGCAGTTTCCTCTTCTGTTAAATGCACATCTCACAGGATCATTGGGAAGATTCAGTGCCATGATGCATATGATACACTCAGCACAGTGCCTGGCACGTAGTAGGTGTTGAAATCAATAGTAGCTGCCATTTTATTATTATTGTTATTGTTATTGTTATTCCCATATACAAGGTGCTGTTGGGAACACAGAGGAAGTGACTGACTGGGGGTTCAGGGAAAGCTCCGTAGAAGAGGGAACACTTGAGCTGGGTCTTGAAGGATGAGTAGAAGTTCACCAAGTGGGAAAGGACACTCTAGGTAAGGAACCTGTGACTCCAGGTTGAAATCTGTCAATGAGGGGTTTGTTCTTTGCGGGGGGATTAAGGAATTGTTTCATCCCAACTTCAAGTGCCCTCACTGCCTCCCCCTGGATCTCCCCTGGGGGCCGTGTGCACTCCCCTTCCTGTAACAGCACCCACCTGTCTTGGCAGCTGTGGGTTCCTGCTCTGTGTCCCCATCTGTCCATGTGTGGGACCACAGGTCTGTGTCTGTCATGTGTGTCCGAGTTTGGTGCTGTCTGCATGTTCCTGTGACCATGTTTGTCTGCGTGGGTGTCCGGAGGGCCTCCCGGGCCACGTGGCGGGGGGCGACCTGCATGCTTCCTTGGCCTCCCGCTCCAACCAAATAGCCAGGCCTCCTCGGTCACTCTCCTCCCTGGCCCGGCTCGGCCCATGCCCCTCCCTTCCATTCCATTCTCCAGGGGCCTCCCGACGGGTGTCCTCCTGCTGCCCCTCTCCTGGCCTCTCCAGTCCCTTCCGCACGCAGCAGTCAGAGGGGTCTCTCTAGACCACAGATTCTGCCCCATCACCCACTGCTTTGAGTCCAGACTCCAGACCTAGGATTCAGGAATCGACCTTCTAGGTCAGGTCCTGGCTGCTGCTCCAGCCTCCTCCCCCCTCTCCCAGTCCTCGCTGGAACGCTCAGCTCTCCTCACACAGCGCTCTTGCTTCTCACCTCTGGGGGTGTGCTCAGGCTGCTGCTTCTGCCGGGAATGCTCCCCACTCCTTTGTTGCCTGGCTAACTCCCACTTATCCTTTAAGACCCAAAGCAGGCATCACCTCCACTGGGAAGTCCTCCCTGATCCTTTTTTCCATCCTGGGTCAGGTCCCTGGCTCTGGGCTGCTCATCCCTTACTTGAGGGGCAGGAGCAAGTGCTTTGCCCAAGATCACACAGCCGGTGAGTTGGAGCCGAGATTTGAATCCAGGTACATTGGGCTCTAAACAAAGCAGGCTGTTCCATGGTCCAGGTGAGGTGATCATAGCTAGGACTCGGGGAGAGGAGTGGGTGGATTTGAGGGAGAATTTGGAAATGCAGTCCCGTGGATGTGGCTTGTGGTGGATCTGAGCTGGGAGGGGAGGGCAGGGACATGTTGGGGACCCGTGTGTGTCTGTGGCAGGAGCATCTGGGCGGTCAGGGATGGCTACAGGGGGTACATGTCCTAGGGGAAGACCAAGTCTGTCAGCCCATGAGACAGCAAAAGGGAGGTAGTTGGAAGGTGGGCCCGGAGCTCCAGAGGCAGGCTTGGTCTGGGGGTGCAGACTTGGGGCTTGGCTGGGTTTTCAAATCCTAGAGTGGATGGGCCACCCAGGGACGAGGTGGGCGGGAGAGAAAAGCCTGGCCTGTGGGTGGGAGCTGTGAGAGACGCTGAGATGAGGAGCCCAGGGTCACAGCACACAGAGCTTCACAGAGGGCTGAGGCAGCGTGAGGCCATGAAAGGTCAGCCTGGACCATGTGAAGGTCCTCGGTGGCATGTAGCTGGTCTCAGGTGAGAGTTCTCTTTGGTAGACGCTTGAGGGGTCACATGTCTGCTTCCTCCACTTAGCTTGGGGCTCCCGGATGGCAGGACTCTCCCGTTTGCCTCAGGATCCCCAGCGCTGGTCCCGGTGTGGCCCAGAGAACGTATCCAGAACAAATGGATGGACAGATGGATGGATAGATGGGCCGGCTGCCATCAGGATGCTGTTTGCAGAAGCAGCTCTGGGTGTTTCATTCACCCACCCATCCAACTTTCTTCACCTTTTAGAGCCAGAAAAATGAAATGACAGTGTGCTTGGCCCGCTGTAAGGGTCAGGGCTCGGTGTTTCATGGCTCACAGCACAGTCTGGGCTTCTCTCTGGGGCTTGAAGCCCAGTGTGCACGTCCTGTCCGACCACCAGCAGTGTCTCTTCTGCCTGTCCCCACGGGAATGCTCAGCCGCAGCCCACCTGGCTCCTCTGCCCCTGCCCCCATCTCCTCTCCCCTGCCCCTGCCCTCAGGCTGCGCCCTCTGACCTCAGGCCCCTTAGCTCTGTTGCTTCCCCAGCCCAGCACACTCCCTTGATGCCTTCTCCCCGCCAGCATCCCAGCCCAGCCCCTCAGTGGGCATTCCGTACCCCCACTACCTCCCCTCTCCAGCTCTCTTTTTGGTGCCTGAAGGTGGCTGCTCATGGACCCGAACCTGCCTTGAACTTTCAGACCTCCATGCCTCTGCTCAAGCTGTGGCCCCTGCTGGGAATGCCTTTCTGCTGTACACCTATTGTAAACACACACCTGACCAGTCTTTCTCCTGCTTAAAACCCCTCCCTTAAGACAAGGTCTGAGCGCCTTAGCCCAGCCCTAGCCACCCTCCCCACTCGCCTCTTGCGACGGCTTGCCAGGTCATGTAGGTCCCAGGGTTGCAGAGGTGGATACCCACCTCACAGGCTTTCTGGGAGGCTCACACGAGATACTCCTGAAGTGCTCCTAGCAGTGTTCCTGACACTCAGTAGGAGCTCAGCAAATGCCCCCCCCACCCCTGCCTGCCTTCCCTGCATCTGACACACAGTAGGTATACACCAGGGCAAGGGTCACAGACCGAATCACTAAATTACTTAAGACCAGCCAGAGGAGGATGAGGAGAAATTAGGAAGAGACTGCGGGGATCAGATTAAGTGGCCCAGGTCAGACCCCTCCCTTCTGTGGGCCTGTGCCAAGCCAGGGCGAGGGGCCATCCCTGCCTGGCCAGGAGCCAGACAAGTAGCAGAGAGGATGCTCTATTCCGGCCATGGGACCCTAGGCCAGCCACCTTCTTCCCCATACCTCCCTAGCCAGGGAGGGGCTTTGGGAAACCTGAACTTGGCATTGAGCTGAAGAGGAGGAGGAAATGCCAAGGAACAGCTGGTGCGGTAGGCAGAGCCTTCGGCCGGGGTGGGGCAGGGCAGGAATGAGGCAGAGCAGCCTGCTTCACCCCATTTCACAGATGAGGAGAACTGAGGCTCTGAGAGCCAGTGCCCAACCTGGCGGTGCAGTGCTGCCTCCGTCCTTGTGGCCTGGAGCAAAGTGCTTCCCTCTGTGAAATGGGGATGAGACTATTCCCTGCTTCCTTGGGCTCTGAGGAGAAGGCCTGTGGGTACAGAAGAGCTTTGTCAACCGTCGAACTGTATGTGGCTGTCTTGAGTTCCGATTATTATTCCTTCATGTATTCATCCCGTCATACAACTCCTGTTGTTGGTCACCTCTAGGCCTGGCTGCTGGGGATGCTGAGATGAGTGAGACAGGTGTATCCAGTTCTCGGCTCCCCTTCCCCCGCCCCAGCCTGGAGCCTCCTCTCCCAGGCTCTTCAGCTCAGTTCCCTTCACGTTTTCCCTGGTGGACAACAGCTGGGAGGGACAGCTTCTGGATGTGTGGGTGCCTGCCCCCGGGCTGTGCCCATTGTATCGTAAGACAGGGCATATTCACAAGCCTGCAGTCAGGATGCCTTGTTTTTCCCTTGAACAGCTAAGGGACTAATCAGCTGGACTTTGGAGTCAGGCAGATTAGAGGGGGAATCTCAGCTCTACTTACTTGCTGTGTGACCTTGACTAAGTCACTCCACCTCTCTGAACTTTGTTTCAGTTGTAAGATGGGGATGATGAGAATACCTGCCTTTCAGTGTCAGTGGGCCTGGCACAGGGTAGACACTTGGTAAATGGCAGCCTCCTCACTGTTATTGTGTTGAGGTCTTTCTGAGAAAGGGATCTGGAACAGTCAGGGAGAACTCCAGGCAGGAAGTGCGTCTTGTTCTGGGCTGTGAGGGAAAGGGCAGCTTGGTGTCTGCGGATAGAGGGAGCAGGAGGGCCCTTAGAGGGCAGGGGCCGACCCAGCCACCCCAGAGGAGGGTACTATGACCTTCAGCCTGGCCAGGCTCAGACCCTACCCAGCCCCCAGGCTGGGAGTGAAAGGGCAAAGGTGGTTCTGGGTAGGCCACTTGCATGAGTATTTGCTCAACCAAGGACTGGGGGGGTTGCAAAGCGAACTCCCCAGAGGAAAGGGCTTGAGCAAATCCACTTTCTAGTTTGACTCTGGTACCCTAGCTTGTGGTCTTGGACAGGTCCCTTCCCCTCTCTCCAAGCCTCAGTTTCTTCACCTATAAAATGGGGTAATAATACCTCCTGTGCCTATTTCTCAAGTAAAGATTACAAGGATAATTTATGTAAAAGATCTTTCTTAAAGTGTTGAGATTAGATTGTGTTGAGAATTTTCTCCTAAACCCCTCTGCCTGCCATTCTAGTAGGGGCTCCTCAGGCTTCTAAGACCAGGAGATGAGGTGGAAGGCATTTCGTTTTGGCCTTGACGGTCAAATAGTCATTTAAACAGCAATACCAGTAGGTATTTAGTTAGTAATTACTGTAGGAGCAAGATAAATAAGAGAATTTTGATGGGGAGTAAGGCTTAATGGAAAACTCCGTTCAGCACGGTCCCTGTAAGTCACTTCTTGACTTACTCTAGGGTTGCCCGAAGACTTGAACCCTCTGGAAGAGTAAGATAGCTCTGAAGGCCCATCCTTCACACTGCTCTGGGTGAAAGGCCTAATTGCACAGCCTGCCAAGGAAATTGCCAGAAGTGAGGGCCACCAGATAGGCTGTCACATACTTCTACTGAAGAGCCCCCAACTGCCCTAGCCACCAGCCTCCTCAAGCCCCTCCTTAAGCACAGCGTGCGGACACGTCCTTGTAGGTAAAGTGTTGCACGTGCCCGTGCTTGCTTCTTGAAGATAACTTTCCAGAGGTACAATTTCATGGGTCAAAGGGCAGTAATCCTGTGGGTCTCTGTAAACCATCTTGCCAATTTGCCCTTCAGAATGGCTGTATCTGATGACCCAGGATGCCCCCCATGTTCTGATGAGGCTGTCTGCACTCAAAGGGGCAGGGGTCAGAAGGGCAGGGATCAGGGTTGGGCGGTTGCCTCCGTTCTGTGGCCATTTACGAAGTTGCCCCAAGACTCCCCAGTGTGTCTCTGTCTGGTGGGGTGTGGAATCAGTCCATGGGTTCACGGGGGGGGGGGGGGGGGGGGGGGGGGCTCTGCAGCTTCAGGCCCTTCTGGGGAATGGGGATCGGTTTGTGGGCATCGGGGTGATGGGGGACCTGGGAGCATAGCTGGCCTGTCTCTGACTTTTGCCCTCTGGGGCCCACGGAGGGAGACACTGAATTCCTGACTTCTCAGCCTGGAGACGTGGTTGCCCGGGCCTGGTAAGGGGCCTGCCCTGCTGCAGGGTGAGGGCCCTGCAGAGGTGGGGGTCCCAGACGTGGGGCCAGACTTGAGTGGGTATAGCTGATGGGAGCTCGCCCCAGGCGGCTGGGGAGGGTCCCTGTGACAGTCGCTCTCTCCCCGCAGGATGGCCGAGCCTCGATTTAACAACCCCTACTTCTGGCCCCCTCCTCCCACCATGCCCAGCCAGGTAAGACTGAGCGAGCATCGCCCTCCGGCCGCCCTCCCCCTCTTGGAGCTGCTCTGCTTTGCCCCGGGCTTCGGCCCGGCCCACGGGGCTCAGGGCTCAGGGCTCGCGGCTCGCGGGGGACCGGCGGCCCGGGGAAGGGGCCCGGCGCGGCCCCAACCCCCTCAGTGCCTCTCCTCTCCCGCCCGCAGCTGGACAACCTGGTCCTGATTAACAAGATCAAGGAGCAGCTGATGGCGGAGAAGATCCGGCCGCCTCACCTGCCGCCCACGTCGGCTTCGTCGCAGCAGCCGCTGCTGGTGCCGCCGGCGCCGGCCGAGAGCAGCCAAGCCGTCATGTCGCTGCCCAAGCTGCAGCAGGTGCCGGGGCTGCACCCGCAGGCCGTGCCGCAGCCCGACGTGGCGCTGCACGCGCGGCCGGCCACCAGCACCGTCACAGGTACGGCGGCCCGGGAGTGGGCGGGGCCGGCGAGGACGGGGCGGGGCGGAGGGAGCCCGCCTTCCCCAGGCCCCGGCCAGTCTGGGAGGACAACCCTCCCCTCCCCGCCCCAGCCTTCCCCCGTCCCACCCCACGCGTGACATTGACAGGACGGGGGCGGGTCAGTGCCAGATAACTTAGGGAATCCAGAGAAGAACCTTGACCAGACCCGCTGTGGGTGAGGGGGAAGGGTTTATATGCAGGGAAAGTTTGGCTGTTGATGAGGGAAGCGAAGCGGGAAGAGGGAACAGCACGTGCTAAGCGGGTATGTGTGTAGAAAGCAAGCGTAGGATGGGTGGAAGGGCCAGATGATGATGATGGTGACTACACGCACAATATGGCAGCTGACTCCAGTTGAGCACCAGCGTGTAGCCAGCAGTGTGCCTTTATTACTCCCAGCAGTCCTGTGAGGTGGGTAGTGCTAGTATTAGGTTGAACAGTCGACCATTTTTGACTTCTAAGACAGCACTTTCGTGTGCACCCTAACCTCTCCATTTAACGGATGAGGAAGGTGAGCCAGAGTTGCACAGTCGGTAGGAGGCAGACACAGGCGGTGTGGGTCCAGAGCCCATGTGGGTTCTAGAGTCCATTGGCTCTAGCTGGTCCTGCTGACACTAGAGAGGAAGCCGACCAGATGTGAAGGGCCTTGTGGGCCACCCCTGCAGTTTGGACTTTACCCTCCGTCAGTGGGGAGCCATGAAAGATTTGTCAGTAGGGGAGGGAGATGCTCAGAGTTGGGTTGGAAAGCTGAGTCTGGCTGCGAGGTGGGGACTGGCTTGGTGAGAGGGCAGGAGGCAGGGAGATCTATAGGAGAGGGTGGTGGCCTGGACCAGGCAGTGACGGTGGGGATGGAGAGAAGGGGACAGATCTGAGACACGTCGAGGGAAATGGACAGGACTCGATGCTAGACTGGACATAGGGGTGAGGAGCAGGAAGAAGTGAGGGGGCATCCCAGGCACCACCAGGGAAGTGGGATCACAGGAGGGGGTGGGGGAAAGAGGTGAGCTCAGTGTTGAGTAGGTTGGGACTGGGGTGCTGGGGGCATCCTGAGGCATTGTCACGCCTGGGTCATCAGGTCATCAGGCTGGGTCTGCCTGATGCCTGCCTCAGAGCCTGGTGGACAGGCTTTCTCCGGAGGCCACAGCAGCCAGGCCTTTGTTCCTCCCCTGGCTCACCCCTACCAACGGCCGGGTGCCTCTCTCCTCATTCCCCCCTCCTCTCAGACGCCCAGGAATTATGGGGCCCAGTGAGCCTCCCTGAGGCCCCAGTGACACTCTGCGCATTCCCCCCTTATTATGACTTTATTAAATTTATTTTTCTCATTATAAAAGTAATATTAAAAAAGTAATATAAGCATATTAAAAGAAATTTGGAAAAAAGAAAAACTAAGGGAAAAAACCCACTCATAATCCCAGCTCCTAACCCAGCCGCTTAGAGAGCCCTTTGGTTCATTTCCTTCCTTTTCCATCTTTTTTGTTTATTTTTTAATATGTGTGCGTATTTTGCTGAGCTTGTAGTAGGGCTGTACCCATGACTTTAACTTGCTGTCATAAGCATTCTATCATAAGCATATTTAATGCTTTTTTTTAATTATAAAGGTAATGCATAGTCCTTACAGAAAATTGAGAACTCGCAGACAACCTGAAAGGAGAAAAAATTAGTCCTAGTCCTACCACTGTTAGCATTTTCATATGTTTTCTCTATAATTTATTTTGTTTTATCCTTTAATCACAGATGTAAAAAATGGATGAATTCACCAGGTAAAAAAAATCAAATAATATAGAAGCAGCTAGATAAAGTATGGAAATGTCCTTTTGCCAGAAAAGTATTCTTCCTCCCTAGAGTGAGCCATCTTTTATACACAAATTGAGTTGGATGTGTCTTCTCAGATCTCTTCCTGTACATTTACACACACATATGTATTGTCTATTACATACATATGAGGTTTAGGTGTGTGTGCTTTTAAACAGATGGGTTCATACTGTCTATGATTTGCTTTTTCACCTGACAACGGCACATTCGGGCATTCTGTCTCCGTCACTGCACAGCATCTTTCTTGTTTTTGTGGCTTCCCAGTCCTTCACAGTGAGGATGGACCACATCTCTTTACACAGCCCCTGCTGAGGACAAACAGGTTGTGTCCAGTTTTCTCTGAGCAGAATTTTATATGGAAGGTCCCTGTACACAGATGTTTGTGTACAAACATCATCATGGGCAAATATTTCCTTGCGGGCAATTTCTAGAAGTTGTGCACATTAGGGGCGCCTTGGTGGCTCAGTCAGTTAAGCGTCCGACTTTGGCTCAGGTCATGATCTCACGGTTTGTGAGTTCGAGCCCCGCGTCGGGCTCTGTGCTGACCGCTCAGAGCCTGGAGCCTGCTTCAGATTCTGTGTCTCCCTCTCTCTCTGCCCCTCCCCCATGCAAGCTGTGTCTCTCTCTGTCTCTCTCTGTCTCTCAAAACTGAATAAATGTTAAACATTTTTTTAAAAAAGTTGGGTACATTGACACATCAATGGCTTGTGCCAAACAGCCCTCCACTGAGGGTGATAGATGTATCCTTCCACTGCCAGTGGGTGACACAAACATGTGTCTGTCTCTGGAGCTTACCTTTTTCAATGCATAGATTTTGGGTTTCTTTTTTATTTCTTCAATTTTTTATTTTTTAAAAGTCTTTATTTTTGAGAGAGAGAAAGAGAGCATGCACACAAGCAGGGGAGGGGCAGAAAGAGAGGGAGAGACAGAATCCGAAGCAGGC